ACCATTGGTTGAGGTTCTGCCAGGGATTAAAAATACAATCACCTGATGTGACAGAGTTCAGTTGACCGATTCGTACCAGTGAACTGACAATTCTCCCAAGGACAAATACATAACTCAGGAGATTAAATATACATACAGCAAAATGACCTAAGTAGGTCACACCCTCAATTTGTATCCACATTACAAATATGTTATATTTTTTAATCAAATAAAAAATGATAATTTACTCTTTTGATAAATTAAACATTGAAGGATAATGTTTTATAGGTGTATAACATAGATTTATATATGCCCAATGTTATGCAAGTAGTAGGTTTGTGTATTTTGTAAGCCCACCAGGAGGCCTATTACAAGTAACACCTCACGTGTTTCAGTGCTAGCCAATGTGTAGTAGATTCTAAGGATTTTTCAAGATGACTGTGTGTGGCTATACACAGACGAGTGTAACAGCTTCAACTTTTCCTAGATTAGCGTGAATTTTTTTCCAGACGCCAGTTTCCCCCCACCGCTCCCCCCCCCCCTCGTACCTGTCTAATTTTTTTTTCTAATACAATGGGTCAATTATTCTCCAATGCAACAACCTTTATCTCTCTCGACACTTCCTCCCCGCCTCCCCCCCCCCCAGGAAGGTTCTATGTTTTAATCTAACTACAGCTTCGACCCTCCAATTGTGTAAATATTGAATCTTACACGTTATCATTTTTAAAGGCAGATTGACTTCAATTAAATTAGGCAAATTAAATTGTCAAGGGATGGGGGCGTGGGGCAGATAAAACTGAGTTCAAGTGTTTGAATGACCACAGCATACAGGAAGGGGGGGGGGGGCGGGCGTATGGAAAAAAATTCACGCTAGTCCTAAGTGGTTTTCATTTATAAAAACAACACGAGGGAAGGTGAAGTCCGAAAAAAAAATTCGACTTTAGCAGACGCCTGTTGATTTGGGGGGGGGGGGGGGGGGGTCGGAGCAGAGAAGTAGCGAAGGGGGGGGGGGAAGGGTGGTACATATGTCCCCGGGCGCCGACCTTAGGGGGGCGCCAAAATGGGTTGGAAAAACAAATGAAAATATTTTAGCTGCATTTTTGTTTTATAAATATAAAAAAATATATGAGGGGGTGCAAATCGAAAGTTTGAGGGGGGGGGGGGGAGTGCAAATCGAAAATTGAAAGGTTGATCCCGAAGGAGGCGCCAAATTGAACGTTTGTCCCCGGGCGCCGGGAAGGGTCGCTACTCCTCTGGGTCGGGGTGAACGAGTTGAACATGAAAAAATTATTTAATCTCTATTTGTATACGATCCTATGAATTTAGTTAAATGCGCTCTAGAAATGTTAAGTATAAACGAAATGTAGGCATATCATTGTGTTTTGTTTGTTTGTTTTTATACCATTCCTTGTTTGGCTTCTTCTCAGTCGGCCTTGTCCGTCCATATTGTGTCCATGTTGAATTTCTACGGGGGAGAAGAAGGGAAGGGATGGGCGGACACACAATCACAAAAATTGTGCTCTAATTTTGCAACGCAATTTGGCAGAGGAAGGGTTGGGGAGGGGGCGGCTAACTTATTGGAAAAAATTCAAACATGGGTAAAAGGTCAAAGGGTGTGGGGCGGGGGCGTACGGTACCCGAGTGGCTCGCGGTGGTTTCATACCCTACCTCCCTCCCCCATCACTTTGTTGAGTAGATGTTACTAACCCACGGGCATAGATCAAGAAATTTTGCCAGACTTTTGTCTCTGAAAATACACAATATTCGTCTGACACGTTCATCAAATGTTTAGTTTAGAGGGAATCATTTTTTTTATTACCTGGTAGAAAAATTAATTTTAAAAGAAATGTTGCACAGTGTTGTGTTTTTTTTTTTGCCGAGGGCCTTTCCTATGTCATCCTTGACTGATCACGTTGGTATTGTTGACGTCTTGCTTCAACGGCAGCCTTGTCGGCTTTTTGGTTTGAACCTTTTCTATGTGATGTAATGATGATACTAATAGTGGGCAGCAAAGTTGACTGTATTATTGTTGCCAAGAGTTGATGACAACAAATCATAATAACTATTTGTTCTATTTTGGGGAGGGGGGATTCAATTCTGGACAACTCAATGGCATGAGGCGGGGGCCGGGAATAGACATATTTAACGATCTGAATGAGTGAATTTAAAAAACAATACGTTTCACCCATGTCCACAACTCCGCCATTATGGACTAATCGGGGGTGGGTTGGGTGGGTGTGGTAAAAAATATTTATTAACGAGATTTAAAAAAATTTGCGGACGTGTAGGGGGTATTTAGTTGTCGCGCTCTCTTTATTGCTAAGCCAGCCACGTCACATGATTTACCCTCCTCCTCATTCGTCTGCGGCTCGCGCAGTTCGCTGCTAAGCCAGCCAGGTCACTTGATTTACCCTCCTCCTCCTTCGCCTTCCACTGCCTTCTTTGCTATATAGTACTGTAATGTATTATGTATAATGTAATTTTTAAAAAAAATTGTGACCGAACGAAAAGATATTTTTTAAAGATTTTATTTAACTCACTTCCTCTGTCTGTCTGTCTAGATCGAAACGCCGGAGAGAAAATTCGGACAGTTCTAATTGACCGATACGATTCACAGTTGGCACATGGGTCAAGACATGAAGACAATGCAATCTGAAACTAAATTTGACTTAATTGGATGCCTAATTAATTTTTTATAAATTAATTAAAATTTGGACCGAATTAGTATGCATGTCTATCGAACCACACCACACGCGTCATCATGTTCAATAGCTGCGCCATCAGGTTCAATAGCTGAGCCATCACGTTCAATAGACGCGCAATGGTTTTTAGTCATGTAACACTATTGTAAATAAAACATGTAAAGTACTGAAAAAAATTCATAAAAACGTTTTAAAAACAAGCTTTTATGTACTAATGCACTACAAAGTAGAAAATAAATTATACACCACTATTTAAATTACTATAAAGAAAAGCTTGGGTCTCTTCTCAAATATTAGTAAAGGTATCCAATAGGCACTAAAGTGACCCACGCTTTTCTTTATAGTAATTTAAATAGTAGTGTATAATTTATTTTCTACTTTTTAGTGCATTAGCACATAAAAGCTTGTTTTTAAAACGTTTTTTATGAAACTTTTTTTGAAAACTTTCTTCGACAATATTGTTTTAAATTATGGCAGGAATCGATTGGTAAATGTTTCAAGTCGCTAAGTGGTCTGGTTGCCGAGATATGGGTAAAAACTGCATTTTTTCGAGGTTTTTTGGCTTTTCCGGGAAATCCAGGAAGGAATTCCGGGAATTTTTTTGGCCCACAATCATCATCGGAACTTGCTAAACATATTTGCTTTAGGAACTAGTCCTCGATATTGCTTCGTTGAGGAGAAGATAAGACTTAAAGCTGCGGACATCCATCCATCCATTCCCATAAATGAGGAGTTAATAATCGCAATTCTCCAGATTGGGAATTGCGCTAAAAATGGTGGAAAAATCATGTTAACTATGACAACGGCAGCCATCTTGAAAAATTAACCCCTTCGTAGGTTTTCCACCATTCATAAAATATTACATTTAAAGCCCAATAAACAATCAATTCATAATCTTCTTCCATATTTTGGGGCACTCATCTAAAAATTTTAAGTGCATATCTTAAAACTATTTTTTTATGATCTTTCAAAATTTGTGTCCCTTCAAAACACTTAACTTTGGGGAATTTTGAGGCATTAAAACTAGTGTTTTGAACGGACACAAATTTTGAAAATTCATTAAAAAAATTAAAATATCACCCCATGATGTTAACCTTTCAAAGTGACCCCACCTAAATTTTGCATATATTGCGATAAACGTCCAAACTATCATCGCTGTTCATCCCACCCCCTTTAACCAAGCATTAATATGACATAACGTGTTACCCCTATGTAAAACAAAATAACCTCCTGATTTATAAATAGGCATTACCATGTGCTCAAACAAATTGTATGGAAACAAGTATCATTGGTACCTACATTATCAAACATACTCTTTTAGATACTACAATATCGATCTATATTTTAAGCGTAAAACTTCAATTTATGTGGGTTCTTTAAACTCATTTAATATATTTTAAAAAACTTTTGATGTTTTATATATACGGAAATAATTTAATACAGTTAAAGACGCACGACTACGAGACTGTCACGCGTCCCCACGCATACTTATCGCATTTATCTAACCTTTATGTAATAGACATATGGAAATAATACAATATAGTAAAGTTTATAATAAATACACACTACTTGATTTTTTCCTCAACCCCCCCCCCCGCATACTTATCGCATTATGTGCACAACTCACCCCTACCCACACCATCACCTACATTTTAAGTACACACATTCTTTCGTCAACTCTGAATGCAATGTTTACAACTTTTTTACAATTCGTTTTTACTTTATGTACTAGACATACGGAAATTTAATACAGTTAATTTTATAAAAAACTAGCCGTCCCGGCCAGGCCCTGCTCTGGCTTTTGTGAAAAACCTTTCTGTTAAAGACCATTACTGTGGTGATGTAATGTGTATGAAAGGTGAATACGTGGAACGGGTCACTGCGGGTGTGTATGTAGCATGTGTGAGACGCGAGGCCGGGTGTGTTGACATGTATGTTGTTGTACGGAGTGAACGAGGGTACAAGGGAAGCGACTGGTCGGGTGACAGTGGCTGTGTTGTGAGCGGGAGAAAGGTGGTGTGTAGGGATGAATGCGGACGGCAGTTGAAGGTTGGGCACGAAAGAAAGCAGGTTGATTTGGTGACTGAAGGATAGAGAAATAAAGGACTGTGATATCTAACTGCAATTGTGTTGTGCATTTCTTGGATATTCATCAACCCTCACACACTTGGTGGAGCTGCGGGGTACCCACAATAGGGGAATAGAACCAACAGATCTCCTGTAAGTGACAACTTATTGAGTTTTTGAATTAGTTGAATTATTGAGGAACCAATGAGTTTGTCAGAGATGTATAGGCTGGGCAAAAGCAACGGATACGAGGGAGAGGAGTTGGACGAGTGGGTGGAGAAAGAATGAATGAGAGTGAAGAAAGGAGGGACAGATGGTGCAGGCGGGAAAGAGAAAAGATGGAGACAGAAGCAAGAATAGAGGTGGAAAGAATGAAGGCGGAAGCAGCGATCGAAAAAGAAAGGCAGGAATTCGAACTGGCACGAATGAAGAATGAAGGTATGAAAAACATAACACACATAGATATGAACCATCAAAGCATCCTATCAAAGTTGCCGAAATTTCAGGAAGATTCGGAAAACATAGATGCGTACATCAGGAGATTCGAGACAGTGGCGAGGACGACAGGCTTGAGCAATACGCAGTGGGGAACTCAACTCCTTGTCTTAATAGGAGGGAAGGCATTGGATGCATGTCAGGGCCTGAGTGAGGATGACATGAAGGACTACAGAATATTAAAGGAAACCCTCCTTGAGTTCTTCTTACATAATGAAGACTCGTATAGGAAAAAATTCCACAACAGACTACCATCCAAAGCTGAGGACTTCAAAAACTACGTGCTGGATCTAAAAACCACGTTTATGAAGTGGCTAGAAACGGCTAGAGTGGAGATGAAAGTTGAGAATATAATTGAATTCATTTTGATAGACAAAGTATTGAATTCAGTAGATAAACAGCTACTAAGTTACATACAGGAAAGAAAGCCCACCACCCTAAAAGACCTTACTGACCACTGCCAAAAGTACATCATTGCACACACGGATAGACCAATAGCTAACAAAGAATCAGAGTATGAATCAATCTTCTACGCGAAGGCGACAGGCGATACAGCGGAGTATGTTGGCCTAGAGGCAGGAAACTACGGATATGACAATCGACGGCCAAGGAGATATGGAACACAAACCAACGGCACAAGATACGTTGGGAGGTGTTTCAACTGCCAACAACCGGGTCACATGATTAGGAACTGTCCGCATAGACATTCAAATGTTGGGGGCAACAACCAGGCTGCGGGTCAGGAATACCTCAGAGACACAAACACTCATGCGGCACACAGTCATTACAGCCAACAACATAGACCGCGGCAGGACGGAAATCATAACAATGGTTACAACGGCCACAACAGTAGCCCAGATAATGAGGGAGTAGAACAAGCACCGTTACTACAGATCGCACCGAAAATACCAACACTAATGGTGAATGTGGGAGCCCATACGGTAGAGGCGGTTAGAGACACGGGTTGCTCTACAATTGCTGTAAAAAGTAGCTACGTCGAACAGCACCAATACACGGGTGAATGGAAAATGGTAGAGGTGTTTGGTGGCACGGTCATACGCCTACCGATAGCACTGATAAACATTAAATCACCGTATGTGACGGGACAAGTACGAGCTTTAGTATTCGAACGGGGATCATTCGACGTAATCATCGGGAATGATATCGAGAGAGAGACCATACCACAAAACTATCATCCTAATGCAGCGGTAAGGTGATATTTGGACTGGTCACATTCTGGGACGGAGCACACAACAAGACGGCGGTGAGACAACACCCGTGTAAGACATTTGTTATACAATATACAGTATGTAGCATGGCGTCTTTCGACAAGTTGTACCGAAGGAGAGAAAAATAGACGTCGTATCCAAAGTTTAAAACAAGTGCCGGTATCCTTTTGTTACGGTTTTTGTCGTATGTATGTATATTGTTAATTGTTATATAAGAGAAATGTAAATGATGATATTCTTACAGAAACTGAAGGTGGATTGTACCCAACAAAAATATGCTACTGGTGGTGCCGAGTCAACGATCGGTTGTCGTTTGTGTGTGATTTTTAAACCTATTTCAAATGTTCTATACAGGGTTACTATGTAGCTATTTTCTGGAATGTAATATGTACATGATGCCATGTTTTTGTACAAGATGTATTTTACAGAGTAGGCTACAAGTCTGATATGGTGCGTCTATGCTGTGTACTACAGACTTACGGAAAGTCTTTGGAGGGACCACTTAACAGTCCCATTGGAACTGTTAACATCGTAGTTATGTATATATACATATTGTGTTGAGTTATTGGTTTTCTTACATTTTTTTGTTAAATTCGCTGATTGCATCAGCTAGGGACAGATGGAGGGTATGTGGTGATGTAATGTGTATGAAAGGTGAATACGTGGAACGGGTCACTGCGGGTGTGTATGTAGCATGTGTGAGACGCGAGGCCGGGTGTGTTGACATGTATGTTGTTGTACGGAGTGAACGAGGGTACAAGGGAAGCGACTGGTCGGGTGACAGTGGCTGTGTTGTGAGCGGGAGAAAGGTGGTGTGTAGGGATGAATGCGGACGGCAGTTGAAGGTTGGGCACGAAAGAAAGCAGGTTGATTTGTGTGTTTAGTAATCATCATAAACCCGGCACTGCCCACCCAAACTACAACCAACCAAAACCAAAACAACGAAACGCAAACATAACGTTAACACAATTACAAATACAAACGAAAACAAAAACCTAACAACAAACCCAACCACAAACACCCATACAATCAGAAAGAAAAAACAAACAAAAAAACAAACAAAAACCTAACAATAAACCCAACCACAACCACAAACACTAATACGAACACAAAGAAAAAAAAACGAAATAGCAAACGAAAACAAACCAAATCCAAACGCAAAACCAACCACAAACACAAATACCAACACAATCCCAAAGAAAAAGACACAAACGGAAACGAAAAAAGAACGAACAAAAACAAACCAAATCAAAACGCAACCACTAACGCAAACCCAACCTAAACACAAAGAAAACACTAACGCGATCATAAACGCAAAGTGCTCACAGTCTAGCCCGGGGCAGAATCGCCTGTTTCAGCTTAATAAACGACTATATTACCCCAACTTATTCATAGTCTTTTGCACTCACTTAAACGAACGTAGGTGCCAAACCAAACCAAATGAACAATTATAATACTCCAAGCTTATCCGTTAAATACCAACAACATTTGCACTTGATCAATCCCCGCTAATTATGTAATTATTTTTTTTTCTCAACACCAAAACAAAGTAATAAAAAGTAAATTCTTTTCCACTAATGCAATGTTTTATAAAGGGAAGTAATTGTGTTTTTCTAATTTATCAAAGGGAAATAAGTGCTAAAGGACTAAATATAAATAATTTTCAGACATAATTGGAATTTTTGTAAAAGATGATATTTTTTTTAAAAATTGTGTTCAATGAACTTGACAATTCAATGACAATTATTACTATCAGTTTGAAAAATGAAAATTATTTCCCAACACTTTCAATAGTAATTTTTGAACTCATAAATTTAGACTATGAGCACGATAAAAATCTAACACTTAAATCCATCGAAGTATGTCGACGACAAACAAACTTATTACACGTTACATACAGAATTGAGCTTTATATATTAGATACACACAAATCTGCGACTTTCCCGAACCCGCACTCACACGCATATTTATCGCATTACGTAATACCCATACATCGACCCCTACACTTACACTCACACCTTTACAGCTTCCACAACAACATCAATTACATCATTGTTTTCACTATTTCCTACATTTACAACCTCACCTGTATCTACACCAACCCTTACACCTAAATCTACAAGTACGTTTACACCTTAATTCGATTTAAAACTTTTCATCATTTTAGATGTTTTCTTAAAAAAAAGTAAATATTTAACCGTTTTAGCCAAGATCGTTTAAAAATTCGATTCGCCCGCTTTTCTCTTACTTTCTCACAATTCCCCACCCCCGTGTAGGGAATATTCGTCATGGTTCGATTGATTGAGTTAATTTTTTGGCCTAAATGGTTTAGTGTTTACTTTCTTGTACAATGAGTTCTTAAGAAACAAGTCAATCAAACTTGACCTTAATTGTAAGCGACAGACATAGGCTCCGCATATATTTACTTGTTTACTTATTTTAGTTCTCTAGCTTTTAAGAAGTTGTAATTTGTATTTTATTATTGTATTTGGCTATAGTTAATTTAAATGATGCACTAAAATTATTTAAGTTCATCTAGGGTCTTTAAAATACCGTATATTTGTATGCTTGTTCACATTAAATCTTTATTTAAAATATTAAACAAGCATGGTCTGCCGAAAAGAGAAACCTTTTGTCTATATAGCCGCGTCGTTTTTTGAGCGAAGTATTGTTTCTACTGCTGAATTTAAACCAAGGGAAATAATTTAAAAAATCAACTTGTCGGCCGTAATGAGTTTTAGGTTTTTTAAAGTTTATTGTCCGTATAATTTTCGTCATACGTTAAAACTAATACCAATCGATAAAGGATTTAATTACGCTCATTTTGATGTACGTTAAACGCATGAAACTTTAACTATAAGGTCTTTAGGATGGTTTAAAAAATTGAAAGTCAAAGAAGCATGCTTCTATACTATTCGATACTTCCTCATAAGCTCCTATACTAAAATTCTGCCACCTAACCTACTAATCTATGTATATATATATATATATATATATATATATATATATATATATATATATATATATATATATATATATATATATATATATATATATATCTTGAACAGTCTAAATAGCTACCCTGAGAGTTCTTGTCGAAACTTATTATGAACAATGTGTTTTACACCAGCTCTTATTGTGTGACATATCACGGTAAAACTACTATTTTACCGTAATGTGTGCTCTCCCAACCTCTTCGACGCAGTATTCCAGTACTCACCGCTGTGACCTCTGACCTGTACGTTAGACTGTCCAGTTGGATTAAATTTACTAAGTGACTGATCTTTGAGTTTGAAAGGCTCTCAGCACGAGTAAGTCAGACAAAAAATAAAAGTTTTGTGCACAATCATTCTCTCTTTCTTACTAGCTCTGAGCTTTACGCTTACATAATATGGTATATTATAATCTTAGAAAAACTAGCAGTTTTAAACCAAAGCCCAGCATTCCACACGACACCAAATCGCCTCGCCCACCGTACAAACAAGTCATTAAGTTTATCTCATATATAGTTTAAACTTGTAGGTAACCGTTATGTTTTGGTTGCGTATTTAAGGACATTTGGTGGACGCTGTTTTAAAAATATAGTTTCACAAAAAAAATGTGAACATTGTAAAGTCACAATATAAAGGACTATTATAGTTTATCATAAAGTGAAATCAAATGAGAAATAAAAATGAGAAGACAAACATGATATGCACTTTACTGTCAATATCCTAAATTAGATTTAGTTGCCCTTCAGAAGGCAATATGCACTAGTAATACATAAAATATAATAGTTAATGTAATATTAGACCTACACAGAATATAATATGGGTTGTACTACAGTGTCCTCCAAGTCTATATTATACTTACAGTCTGTAATACAATGGTAACTCTGTTTTAATGTTATTCCACCAACCACGGTAGAATTAAAATATATGAAAAAAATAGAAATTTACAAACTTGTCCTTTCGCGGCGTTTTAAGGATAAAAATGTCACTTGTTTTCAACAAAAAAAAATTGCTCATTAAAATTTCTATTTCTTATTTCAGTTCCTATACCTTTTATCTATCTAACCCAAACATTTAGAACTTCTACAGCCCACGGATATCCATTTATTGTGATGTGAAACAGGGTACCCACCCCCCTTCCCCGACAAATTTTCACACTACAACGCGGACAGCGGCTATCTTCTCTCTATCACTATCACTACCACCCTACCCCACCCCCACATGGTCTGCTGAGCTGTGGTCACATTAATGTTTACAAACAGTACAGCCAGGTTTAGTGACGGCTATTAGGGGCAGATAATTAAGTTTAAACCGACTTTAAACTTACAGGAGGTAACTAAGAGGAGGCTGCTTTCACGGGGGGGGGGGGGAGGGGGGGTGTAGGGTCGGGGTTAGGGGAAAGGAGGGGGGTTAGTGTTTTAAAGCAAATATTTTCAGTGGCAGCATTGGTACTGTCGAATTCACAAATTATGAATTACTGAAAGTAGAAAATAAATCAACTAAATAGCGGCGTATGATACGCCGCGGGTCGGCTCGTTCAAAATAATTCACGATAGGTTGCAACTAACCACGTGTGCTTGGCAGCCATTTTGTTTCTAGATAAACAAAACAATCGCCTGTCTTCGTTAATTTACTTTATTTGCATATACTGTTCTATATGTTGATTTAAAATTATACAAGAACATTTAGGTTAATTATTAAAACTTTGCCAAGAAGTGTACTGTTGATTGTTATTGGGACACTATTAAACATTGTTTGGTACACTTTATACTAAGCTGAAACACTGCGTCATGGACATGTCTGTCAGTTTGAATAATGTAGTAAGTCCGTCCCCTTCATCCCCCTCATCCCCTTCTCACTATTCAACCAACGACCCGTTTTTAATCGTGTTTACATCGGACTGTAATCGGTACATGTGTTAATGTATATGTCCTTCGGTCCGTGTAGGGTTTGCTAGCAACTAATGTAAATACTAGATGGGAAATCTGATAAGCATTCATTGCACGGAAATATAGTGCTTGAAAAAACATACGCAATCTATGTCTCATTGTATCTTCAAGGATTGGGGGGCGTGTCTAGCCTCAAGCGCTGTATCCGATAGGCTATTATTATAGGCTATTATCAAAAGGCAATAAATTTGTGTAAGCTACAATTTATG